TGACCAACGAAGCCTGAGCCCTAAGTCACATGACCCAAACCCTAAACTTTAAAACACTCATATTCATTATGGAGTTATAGAATGCCAAAGACATCTTGTCGAGGCCATAGCACCCGGAAGTGTCATAGAACCCTGTTACATCCTAATGTAGGGGCCTAACAATTAGAATAGAGCTTTTTGTTGGGGGGGGGGGGGGGGNNCCTTATTATAGTTATAGTATAATATCCCCTTAAAACCCTATTCTAATTATTAAGGCCCCTATATTAAACCCTAAACCCTAAACCCTATTCTAATTATTGGGGCACCTATAGTAAACCCTACACCCTAAACCCTATTCTAATTATTAAGGCCCCTTTATTAAACCCTAAACCCTAAACCCTATTCTAATTATTAAGGCCCCTATATTAAACCCTACACCCTATTCTAATTGCTAAGGCCCCTATATTAAGCCCTACAAGGTTCCCGAAGCAGCTGGTGACGAGCCACGGCTGCCGTAAGCGTTCCCAGAAGGAAGCGAAAGGGACGCAAGAATCCTCGAGTTAGAAACAGGGCAGGGTTTAGGGGCTTAGGGGTTTGGGGGTTTAGGGGTTTGGGGGGTTTAGGGGTTTTGGGGTTTTGGGGTTTGGGGGTTTAGGGTTTAGGGGTTTAAGGGTTTGGGGTTTAGGGCTTTACACTCTCACAACTCGGACAAGCCAGGCGAGGATCCATAGGTGCAAAGGTCGGCGTGACACAACGAGTCTACAATGCCTGCCACTATGGCTTTTTTTCCCACTATGGCTTTAGGGTTTAGGGTTTAGGGGCCTTCAGAATTGGATTTGTGGATGTATTCTTGCTTTAATGATTCTTTCTACTCATTATAGAATATTATAGAATTATGAAAAGCCCGAAGATTCGAGCGGAAGGGAGCTCATAGGCATGAAGTGTTCACAGAGCTTTTGGTGCAGTTGGCTTTAGGGGGCTTTTCTACTCTGCTATTACGGTTTCGGGGTGTTGCTGTCATTCTCGCACAAGGCTTCCCAGGCACCAGCGCAACTGGTCCGCAATTCGGGATTGCGCTTAGGCTCGGGTTGTTCTAGGGCTCGGATTTAGGGCGCGTGCACTTCAGAATCCTTGTTCGGAATTCGGAACCGTGGGTCTTACCAAGGCCTAGGCCCCGTTTGGTTCAGGAAACCAACAGTGTCGCCACGACTCCGATGATCACGGCTGCCTTGACCATGGTACCGAAGTGGAACCGGAACAGCACCTGGAAGCAAAAGCATGGGTACCCAAGACAAGTGCTACCCGCTTTTGACTGCGAGCCGAGGTTCCCAAACTCAAACGTCTCAAGAGTGCATTCGAACCAGTCCGAAACACAGTTCTGAATAGCCCTTCATAGTTCTGAATGGTTTAGGGTTTCGACTCACACACTCGCACAAGGCTGGCATGGCATACTGTGTCCGAGGGTTTAGGGTTTGTTCTCAATCCATCTGGGGGTTTCCGAAAATAGAGGACCCTAATATTGTACCCTAAACAGCAGGATCCTGACCATAAGGACCCCAAAATAAGGTACCCCCTACCTTCTGAAACTCCCATCTTCCCTTCGACCCTTGCCCTTTCCGGATTCTGGGCCCAGCTCTTAACATCTGGAAGTCATCCACAGGCATGAGCCAAAAGTACATCAAATACTGGATCTCCTAAAAAACAAGCTTTCAGACGGTGATCGGGTTTGGCACAGAAAGATCAGCTCGTTTGATGAGTGACTCCTGCGACTTGCAACCTACCCGGACCTACCCTTGAATTTGCTGCCGATCTGCCCAAAAGAAGTGCGACAGATGCTCGCAATTTTCTCGAGTACCGGGCTTCGCCTTCCCAGCTTTAGGCTCTCCGGCTGCGCTTGTAGGGGCTTGGGCTTACTTAGGGTTTAGGAGCCGTTTCAGCATTCCTCTGGTGAGCGAGGGTCTCGGACAACCGCGCTTTGAGCTTTCGGGTTTGGGCCCTAGTACGGCGTGTAACGTGGAGGCCTACACGTCAGGTTCAAGCAGCGCTTCAGGACATGCTCTGCTGTAGCGATGCAGGAGTGATACATAATGCTACGAACTTGCGGCATCCTCGAGTCTTGGCTGCTGAACCTCGGAATCTGGACTAGTGGTTACCATGACTATTCTGACATACGGAGGATAAGGTCTACAGGGGTATATATATATATATGTATATATATATATACACAAACATAAAAATGTATACATGTAAATATGTGCACATATATCTATATGCATATGTGTACATATGTATATATGTACATGCGTATATGTGCACATATATATATATATATGTAAACATGTATGCATGTATACATATATACATATACATATTCATATGTTGCATATGTACATACACACATTTATATATATATATATATATGTGTGTGTGTGTGTGTGTGAGTGTGCGCGTTATATATCTATAACATTATATGCATGTATGTATAAATGCAGTTATATAAACATAAAGATAAATACATAAT